TCTATATACAGGAACTCACAAAACTGATTGTTCAGTGGTAATTACATGTATAGCTTGGTTTGCTTTTCAGCAATTAACTAAACAAGTTTAGTGTTCTCATAGTTAATATAGGTTTTTAATATGAATTGGAGTAGAAAAGATAATATATTAATTTGAATGAAATTTTTGGATAATATGAAATACAGTCAAACTTCCATAACTCGAATTTTCTATAACTTGAATTTTCTATAACTCGAACCAAAAACAGTGCACTAAGGTTTTAGAGAGCAAATTACATGAAATTCTGTTTCCATAACTCGGACTTCTATAACTCAATAGAAATAGGAATATGGGAAAGTGCATTCTATAAGTTTTGTTTATTTTGTTTTAAGTATAAATGCATTTTGCTGTTAAAAAAAATTCTCTAACTCGAAGTCTCCATAATTCGAACCTTTTCTTTGCAAAATTGGACTTCGAGTTATGGAAGTTTGACTGTATTTAGAAGCTGTGTGCATAACTGAATACTCAATGCCCCCAAATACGAAATGTGAAAGATAAAATGCTGTGGAGATTAAAGTCGGTTTGCGGTGGTTCAAAGAATCGCTGCTTACTTAAATTTTACGTCTTGATTTGTGGGTGGAAAGCGTGCCACTTTTTTCACATACTAAACGTGATTCTAAATATTAACTGTACTTATTATCGTTCCTTATTACCCTTTGATAGTATACGGTATGCAAATTTCAGCTCGACCTGTAAAAATTGAGTTTCTTTTATTTCCTTTTTTATTTTTTTTTTTAATTTTTTTCTTATTTCTTTCATTTTTTCGTTTTGTTAATTAAAGCATTTTCGCTTTTGATCATTTTTTGATGAATTTTTGAATTTTATTCTAAGTAGCTCTCATGTGCTCTTCCTCAAATTTATTTTATTAAATTTTTTTTAAGGCTGCGCGCCGCAATACAAACGAAACCCACACAATAAAACGCGCACCAAAAACAAAAACAAAACAGAAAAACACAAAAAAAAAAACAAAAAGACAAAAAGACAAACTTGGGACTTAAGCGCTGTTGAATGCAAGTCTTCAATTAGCGAATTTTAGTACGCCAAATCAAATCCAAACGTAAATGCATGCAAAAATGCTGAAGGTTGCGTTCGAGTTCCCGCTGTGTGTGCGTGTGTGTGTGTGTGTGTGTGTAAGTGTGTAAGTGTGTTTTGTGAGGAGAGCCCGGAAAGATTATTATTACAAGCAGTACGTGACATTTTCTAAATTATGCAATTGACAACGCACACTCACATATATTCAGACTATTATAAGCTCACGTAAAAATGCACACTCAATTGCCAATTTTGGTACAATACGCAAATAACCCCTGCAGCAATAGTTACTAATAAAGACTCACACACGCACACACACACACACAGAGAGACTCTCAAACGGACACGGGTACGGAATTAATCAAAAGAGCTGCATTTTACGGAAATGCATTCTATTTATTTGTTATTTCAGAGAAATGGGATGTTCTGGGTTACACTAAGCAAATAAATAAAAATGAACTGGCCAGACATATAGTAGATGGTTAGTTGGTTGGTTGTAGTGACAGGCCATTGGATAACTTCCATGTACCTCAATTAGTGATTTTTCGCCGTTTTGCTACCACATTCCATGCAAGAACCCTAGCATAGAAGAATAGAGACTAAATCCATCCCGCCGCATTTAGATAATTTAATAGATCTTTCGTCTTCACCGATAAACAGACTAATAAATTATCATTAAAGTATCTTCCTAAAAACCTATTTCTTCTGGACGCCAAAACCGGGAATTCACAGAGAAATGTGAATCGCAGGAATCCCTTATTTAAAAATTAGAAACTAAATCCATTCCGTCGTATTTTGATAATTTAATGGGTCTCTCGTCTTCAGCGATGAACAGTCTGATAGACTGTCAAAGAAGTATCTTCCTAAAAACTTATTTCTTTTGAACGCCAAAGCCGGGCATTCACAGAGAAAATGTATTGTGGTTTTTTTTTTCTGCTGGTTTCCACAACTTTTGCAGTGAGGATTATAAGGAATACGCAGTTTCTCTGCGTCGATTCCTATACACCAATGATCAGAGAGAACTGCAGTAAGTCTTGCAGTGTTCACGCGGTTTCATAGCAAATTAACATAATTCCATGTTCGAATATACAAGTCAAGTACAACTTTGGATTAGTTGGTTAATAAACACTGACTCTAAACTTCAAATTTGGCAGGGTACGTGTTCAACTCCTGGTACTTGCAGTCTCAAAAAATTATATACGAATAATTAAACACAAGAATTATTTAATTATTATTTGATTATAGAATTAAAAAATTAACTTAAAAAAATTGACTTTAAAATTAACTATTTTGTACTTTGCTGTTACGTATTAAATATGTTTCTTTAATTTTTAAAGCATTTGAATGTGCGTTTAATTTTAAAAAATTTACTTATTTTAAAAATAATACGATTTTACAAAATTTAATTTTGAATTAAAATTTGATTATAATTCCACATCTGAAATAAAAAAACAAATATTTTGTGCTGTATTTCCCACGACCTCATTTAAAGAAAATATCGTGCAAGTGTGTTTAACTTGGGGGACGCGATTAAAAAATATTTTTAAAAATATTTTTAAATATTTTTATTTAACTATTTTTAAAAATTTCATTTACAAAAAAAATTAAATGATAACCCCAATCAATAATAAATATATTTGCTGAGTATATTACGAAATTCCATTAATGGAAAACTTTCTAAGCTTATGTTCGATGTGATGTGCTTGAATAAACTACTCTTAAGAATATTTCTAAAAATATTGCCATTTTGAGCAATTTTATTTTTAATAAAGAATAATTGATTATTCTAAATCAGATTTTTGTCACATATTTTGGAAACTCTATTCTACAGAATGTTGTGCGTATGGGTCATTCTTTTACTAACCGGACGGATTTTGGCAAAAAATTACCTCATGATCTCTGATTTGACTGAAAATTATTTTATGAATTTTTGGGAAGTAAGTCGTGATCGTTCGGAAAGACCAATTAAGCATTACACTCAATATTTTTATTTTCATACTTCTATCTGTTGTGCCATTAAATTTTTCCTGTAGATTCTTTAAAATGATGCGGGTTATCGTCTTCATTGCTATTGTTGCAGTTATCGTAAGGAATATTGAAACTTTTAGATTCGTGATTTGAAAATAGGGATGACGTGAAAATTAGTTATTCAATAAAAATACATCTGAGAACACTAATATCCTAAAAAGTTTCATTTATATGTAGAATTTAATGACAAACTCAATTCAGAAATGAAAATTAAAAATTTTTGTATAGTTTTTCTTGGAAAATTGATTTAATGGTATTATGGTGCGTATGAGTAACGTAAAGCACGGCTGATGAATTAATTTTTTTTAATTATTCCTAAAAGCAATATCACACTGAAAATATTTATTTTTAAAGTAGAATTTATTGATTAATCTGAATAAAAAGTAAAAAAGAAAAATTTTGAGTGATATATTCTTTTCTTTTTTTTTACTGAAAGATCGTGTGTATGTGTTTGGTGTGATGTGATGTGAAGAATAAATTAATTTTTAAAAGTACTTCTAAGGACAATATCGTCCTGAAATTTTTGGATTTTATTTAGAATTTTATTACTAATCGAAATCGAAAATATTATATAAGAATATTTCTAATATATTCTTTGAAAATTTATTCAATGGAAATATAGTATGCATGTACTTGATGTGTTTTGAAAGAAAAAAAAAATTTTAATTTCAAAAAATTATACGATTCTGAACATTTTTATTTCGCAGTAATATTTTAAACTTAATCCAAATAAAATATAAAATAAGAAAATTCTGGAGACGTGTTTTAAGAAAAATTTTTTTTTGAAATTTAACGGAAATTTAAGTACTTAAATATAAACAATCTTAACTGTTCAAACAATTTCTTAAAAGTTCAATCAGTTATCTTTAAAACGCAGCAAGTTTGTACCTTTTATAGAGCTTGAAATGTAGCCATTTGAAAATGTGTCTTCAACACCAATTCTTAAAACCCCATGGGTTAATAACTCCTAGAAAAAAAATTACCACATATTTCCCAACATACGGGTTTTTTTATTTCATTAAAGGAGCTTATGAAAAAATATTCAGCCAAATTGAAGATCATGAGGTCAAAAAGGTGTCCGATTTCTAAAAGAGTGACCCGTATACAGAATGACTCGAATGCATTTGCTATGAAGCACACAATAAATATATTTTTTAAAAATGTTTTCAAAAAGAGGATTATTTTGAAAGTTATATTTAATATGAAAGAATTAAATTATTTTAAAAATTTAATTTAACATAAATTTAAAAATTTAAAAAATAGAATTTTCTTGAAATTAACAATTTATATTTTAAAGACGGTTAAATAATGGTTATGAAATAGTCACTCAATTATCTTTCAAACGCTGTAATATGTAAATTCCTTAGAACCTGAGACGTGGCGATATTACAATTAATTGAAATTGCAAATTGTCAAAACCTCTTATTCCCCCTTAGGAAAAAAAAAATCAAAAATTATTATCTGAAATACGAAACTTTTTAGTTGATTAAAGAAGCCCAAAAAAGAAGATCAGCTAAAGCAAAGGAGTTGAGGTCAAAATCTGTAGCGTTTTGAAGAAAAACTAAGATATATGGATTTGCTGGCACTCCCAAAATATTCTACATTACGAAATACGTAATTAATTCAACTCACTGCAATAGGAACACACACACTCACACACAATCTTGAAAAATAAAACACACATGTATGTGTGTCATGCTTAATTTACCCTTAATTTACTACACACTTAAATAAGTGTGAACCCGGACTAAATGTAGCTTAACGAAATGTCCATATTGCTTATGTTTTTGAAACGCATGTTTCTTTCTCGCTCACTTGACGCATTTATTATTTCTCGCCATTTATTTTCGTTTGCTTATTAATTGAAGTCAGTGTTCTTTTGTTCTTTTCCGCAAAAACTTTTTAAAGTTTTAAAAGATTTAAGTACAAATAATTTTAAACTTTATAATATAGTGAAAAATGGAGACTAACAATATTCAAATCGGCGTTGGCGCTGTAAGTAATCAAATATTTTTGTTTATTCGCTTTTAATTGTTGTTTTAGTTGCCGCTATTCGGTTTTGTTTGTTGCTAACATATAAATAAAAACACAACAAAATTCTATTATTGCTTTTGAGCAGCAGAGCGACGCAGAGTGACGCAAAAGTAAAACGCAAAAACTGATATGAAAATAAAATCAAAAGTAAAAAAACTTAATCAAAAGCAGAAAGAGAAAGATACGTTCTTAGCAAATTTATTTTGCGCTACACTAACAAAATTTGTTTTGTATTTATATTTGCATTCTGTGGAAGAATTGCGCGGATAAAAGCGTATAGAAAAATGAAAAATGTTTCTGGCTCAGCGCTTTTATCCGAAAAGCGCATTTATCCGAGATGCGCATTTTTATGAGAAATTTATTCGATTTACTTGCAAATAACAGAATTTTTACGGTAACACAATGGCCTAATAGGCCTAAGTGAATCCACTAGGGATCGCCGGTATAACCTAACCTAACCTAACAGAATTTTGCAAATATATCTCTGCATCGGTAGATAGGCAGATAAGTATTGTGCGCATGTATGCGTGTATTACGAAAATGTCCAGCTGTAAATAAGAAAAAACATTGAAAAGTAATAATTTTTTATGAAAGCCACTAATTATTATTAATTGTGTTTGAAAAATTAATTCTATATATACGAACGCTAGGCTTTCTTTCTTTGACGGTTTGAGACAGGCAATGTACAAAATATAGTGTGACTTAAATATTATTTTCTTCTCTCAATTGCTTATAACTTTAGTATTTTTCTATAGGATTTTGTTTATCAATACCTTGCTCTCTTCTAAAAATTAGGATAAATGCATACTATATGAAACAATAAGGAACTGGACAATATAAATTTTATTTTTGTATGGCAAAAAAGTAAATTTTGCATATTTATGCTGGTCAAAAAATTCAACTTGTTTCTTAGATTGTATATTGATCCATAATACTTAAACTAATGAAATTATCGGATAAAAAAATTCAAAACGAATTATTCGAAAAATTATGTAAACACCTTAGACACTTAGAATGACCTGGAAATTTTTTTTCTTGATTTCATATTTATCAAAACCAATCTATTCAAAGTTTTTTTCAATTGGATTTAAAACGTAATTTGATTTAACATCATCCCATCAAGCCAAAAAAACTTTAAACTCAAAAACCTCTTCATACAAATTTTAATCTGTGCCATTACATAAATATTTTGTTAATAGACCGATGTTATTTTTATTAAATTTTTCTTTTAATCTCATTTTTATTACAAACACTCAATACAAAATTTAAAAATGTCTTGAGTTCCAGAACTGTATAAAATTTGATTCTTCGAATTTCTAAACAATAAAATAATGTTAATATATGTGTCCACTAAACAAACTTAACCATAAAAATCAAGAAAAAACCTCTGCCAACCTCTGTAAAGACGCAGTAACGCTACATACATATGTAACATATAAGGACAATTGAATATTACACTTGCTGAAATGAATTTGTCACATTGAAACAATATTTCGTAGTACGTAGTACAAACCACAACATCGTTGTTGTTGCAAATTATTAATATTCTGTTCATAGTTTTTGCATTAAAATTGTTGCAAAAGCTATGTGCATGTATTTCGCTAATTGATACAAATAATTATAGTACGGTGTTAAATAAGAGAATAAAATAAGAAATTATAATACTAATAAACGGTCAAATGTCTAACCAGGATTTAATTTTGAAAAAATCCTTTTCAAAAATATTTTATATTACTGGAAACGTCAATACAAGATTTATAATTTATATTTAATTATATCAATAATTTTATAGTGGACCCAAACCCGCTCTAACAAACCTTAAGTCCACCTCAGCACGCAAAGGAAGATATACTGATCTACGGTCCATCATCAGTTAGAAAATAAATAAATGATAATGTTTCTAGTATAGCTAAAGTTTAGTGTGGAGCAGAGATAAGCCTCCCAGCCACAATAAAGTAAAAGTGCGCAATAGCACTAACTCAAATCACAACAACAACAAACAACAACTATAGTGGGCTTTTAAGCGGTAAAGAAATAAAAGTAAGAATAGAGGGATGGCTTTGGTTTTTTTTAATTTTATTTTACAACTTAAATTTATAGAAATCCTTGAGCTATTCTACCGTTTCCGGTTATATGACGTTAAACCACAATACGTCAGTTTTACCTTATATAACGAAAATCTTTTTTATGTATATTATATATAAACCAAATGAAAATAATTTAATTGTTAATTATACTAATTAATAATAATTTAATTATTATAGTTTAATTGTTACAATAATTTACTCACCAAACTTCATTTCTGTGACTTGGCACTTCGAAATTAATTTTATGATGTGTTAGCCAAGACATAAAATTTTACATTAAACTATAGAATATATGTAAGAAATTTTATTTTCGTAATTTAATATAAAGTATTTGATTGAAAATGATAAGATGACCACGTGGAATTTAAAATAAAGTGAAAACATTATTAAACATTCTCTTATTATTCTTGAGTATTCAAACAGTTCTATATTTACTCGTATATAGATAGGTCGTTTTTTAAACACTTCTCATAAACTCATAACTTCCATAGTTGATTTCTTGATTCAAGAAAAATAATGCTTTTTAAAGTGTGATTGTAAGAAAACGATATGCGATAGAAGCCTAATTATTTATAATTATAAAATAAAGATTAATAAAACTGGAATCGAAAAAATTGCTTAGAAAATTATAAAAAATTGAGATTTTCTGCAAAACCATTAAAAATTTAAAGAAAAAATCAAATTTTAATCAATATAATTTCTAAACCTATTTAAGTACAAGTACTTACTGTTGTCCTTCTCTGCTAAGTGAAGCATAGCGCCTCAACGATTCCTCTTAGTCTTATTCTCTTGCCTGCTTCTCTCGTGATTTGGTTCCAGGAGTACTGTGCATCTTAAAGCTCCTAATTCACGGTTTTTCGCCATGTTTTAGCTGGGGCTCCAGGCCGGCGGCTGCTTGTCGGTTCCATAGTAGAGCTTGCTTTGTTATGCAAGATGATGTTTTCCTGAACGTGTGGCCAATACACTTCCATTTTCTTCATTTGATTTCAGTAGCGGCTTGTGTTTGTTCCATGCGTTGCCATAAATCCATTTATTTGCACTATACATGAAATTCTTCAGTAGATTTTATAGTATTGGATCAGAAAGACCAAATCCATCCATAATAAGCAGATCTGACTAAGACATATTGGATATTATTTTATAATCAACTTGTATGTTACCTACTCTAACCATTATAATATTCCATTAACACATATGCATCTAAAAGTTCAAATCTATTTTAAATGCATTTTTTATCTCCTTCTCATTGCTTTATTTTATAAACATTTGAGTATTGTATTATTAACCGGTATTGTTATTAGCTCGTAATTGTAATCCGAGTAAACCAAGGTATATTAATGCAATATATGTTGATAGCAAAAACAGATGGTGTTTACTTCTGTGAAATGAATATGATATCATTTAATTAGAACTACGTAGATATCTCATTGTCAGTTGCACGTTAACTAAAAATTTAAACAATTTAATGTATTTATTATCCTCTTAAAGGCAAAGACACAAAACTAATCAGACGTATGTTTTATTACCTTACAATTTAGATTAATCGATTTCATTACTATAAAAGTTGCTGCGTCCTTTTTTCCTTCCGTAAGTGTTTGTTACCCAACTCTTTCTATTAGCCTTTTAAGTCTTGATTCAAAAGCAACTGAACATAATTTTTGAAGAATTCCCCCATAACTCCAGTTGTAAAATTTCCAAATCCAACAATAAGCATAACTATGGTAATGTTTTTAACGAAATTTTGCTAATAGGTATGTTCTTCAAAATCATGTATGAATGCTGGTTGAAGTTCAAGCCAAACCCTATTTAAGCATTTGAAAGGACTTTATTTATTTCCTTTGAATAACAGCTTCACTGTTCATAAATGGCAATTATATAACCACTAATGTAAGTCAGTCTTATAGAAGGGAAATAGGTAAATTACACAGTTACAATTCAGTAACCAATTTCTAAAATTATCGATCTATTATCTCTTAAATCAAATATTTTTAAGTTCCTATTATTTACACAATTTCTTTCTCTTTTCTTTTCTTCTTTCTTTCTTCGGCGAATAGATTTTTTTCGAGAGAGTTAGTCAGAGTGAAACACCATCTTGCATTCTGCAGTTCTTTCGATCAATTAATAATAAAGATTTAGCATTTTTTCATCCAATTTGTATTTGTATATATTACTGTTGACCTCGTTGCTATTAAAGTTACTCCACCTGGGTATTGCCTTTTTAGCATGGATTCCCTTAAGTGTCTGGATATATCGTGCAAATGTATAAGTGCAAGGTTAGTGTCGATTTCAACAACATTGCCAATTCTTTCATTTCCTTCCACGTTTTTAACAGCAAGCATATAGTATACACACTACCCTCCTCTACCGTTGGTTACTTCTTTGTGGTGGTAAAGATTTTGAACAATGCTCCTATGATATATCTTCATTGTTACTTGACTGTACACGAAAAAGTTATTTGTGCACTTTTTTCTTTCTTCAAGTAAACAAGTTCTGCAGCTTTCTTACTAGAAAAACTTTAACCTTAAACTACACTACAGTAGTCAGGGGGTTTATACAGCTCTCTTAAGCGCAGTTGGTCACAATAAATGCTGGATCCAGCTCCCTCTCGTATTTCCTTTATAGATAGACAATCTATATAGATATAGAAAGTTTACGCATCGGTTTGAATTTTTTCATCATGCTTCATTTATGACATCGTGAAATTTAAAAAAATCACTAATATCATTTAGTGACGTACATATATCAATGAAAACAAATTATTGTGACTATGACGAATTATGCTAATATAGAACTCATATGTTTGAGTGTAAAGTATGTTAACTATATACGAGTATTTGCCTATATAAAAAAATAACTGTTGAACCCTTTTACTGC